TGTGCATACACCGTACATACATGTATGTATTCACAATGTCAACGAACTATTTTTGGAAGTACAGTACCAGCCACTACTTGGGTATACAAAAGACCGGAAATTTTTCCTGGAGATTTGTAAATATGGAAATGCCAGTTGAAGGATGGGAATTGTCAGGGGGGGGGGAAGAAAAGGCATATCAGAGGTATATGTATGGGTACCGGTGCATGTTTGAATGTACCGTACTGCAGTATAACTTCACACATATGTTTGAGATGCCGTGTAGAGGGTGGGGAATGTCTGCTACCAGGGGTCAATTTCATAGAGCTGCTTCAGCACAGAATTTACGTAAGCAGGAAAAAAACCTTGTATAATAAACACAGGTTAATTGCCAGCTCAAACTCTACGTGTATGTGATTGGCATGCTGTCCAAAAGACAGGTAAATACCATTCCAAAACAGTATACATCACAAGAAGTTTTGGCTGGTAACCCGATTTGTTAAGCAAGGTTTTTCACGCCTCAACAAATTTTTCACTTTTAAAAAGCAGTGCTATGAAATTGGCCCCAGATTATGGGGAATACACAGGTGTTGAAATACACGGGTGTCTTAAACAAAGGAAACTGAGATTAATTGATCTGTTTCTTGAATGTGACTAATTAGTTTTCTAAATGGTTTTCAGTATGTTGTCGTCTTTCGTATGACAAACAGAAATTTAAATTTCAGTCACACATGACTGAGCTTATGGTTTAATGGACCACGTCAGAAATGGCTTTGCACCAGCCAAATTACAGGTTTGCACAGCGTGAAGCATTAAGTACACTACCAATATCATTAATTTAAAGACAACCACAGTTAGGGGCTTCTTCTTGAAGCAGTCTAAGCCCAGTGTCCTTCAACATACTCCACATTTCTCTCAACGCACACTTTTGCCCTTGTTCTCATTGCTTTTAAATGGTTTCAATGCATTTTGGAGATTCTAGCAAATGTTACTTATTTCTGAAAAAAGCGAGCTCTGGACAGTATGAATTCAACATCAAAACAGCTATTGGGCGCAAAGCCATTTTTGACTTGGTCCATTAAACCACCTTGTGCTCATTCATCCGTGACAGAAATTTGGATTTCTTGGTGTCACGCTAAAGAGGTCATCATAATGAAACCGATGATGGTTACCATTTACCAAAATAATTATTCACATTAATGAAACAAACAAATTTCTCTCTTTTTACCTTACCTTTTTTAAAAGACACCCTGAAGATGTTATGGGGATAAAAATATTATGGGGATAACAAGGTTTGTCCCCACAAAGTGGTTATGACTTTCCTGACAAAAGAAATTGTCTCCATCATGCAAAGAGAGGCCCATAACATTCCAGCATCAAAGTATAAGGTCTGGGTAACTGAATGACATCTCATAACGAACTTTGATAAATGATGACTACAAAGTGTGAACCACAGAACAGAAAGTGAAGCCATATTAGCCAATTAAGATGAATGCATCACTCACTGCATTGATTGTACAAAGTCAGAGCTTGTCAGACGTACAGCCACAGCTGACAGTCAGTGCCATTGTTAAACATTAAATGGGTTTCCGCAGCTAACCTAAGCTTCCTGGAAAGGTTAATTAAGCACACAATAATGGCGACTATGGTCTGCCAAGCATTAATTGCTCCCATTAGGCAAATGGCAGTTTTTATTGATGGTTGAGGCAACGTCCCGAGGGAGAAATAGCAAAAATCAGCAAAAAAGGTTTAAAATGAGTATGTAATATGGCTCCATTTCAATTGATTTACGTCTTGGCTGGGAGCATGTGGCCTACATTCACGTCTGTCTGCTGTGAGACACTTTGTGCATATCAGCATGTTTTTTCAAAACAATTCATCATACATGTACATGTATGCAGGTGTTCCTAAACGGATAGATTACGGTCCGTACAGTGCCCTGGTCCAATATTTGTTGTTCTTTTTCATAGCCCAAGAAGTTAATGTTTATGAACTGGTACATCCATTTTGCCTTTACTGAATTTCAGTATTGGTATATAACCTACATTCATGTACATGGTCAGTAACTTCTTCACTCTGAAAAGGACTGTGAATCATGAATATGTACAATGAGACACATGCACATGTACTACACCACAGCGTGAAAAGGCATATTCAGAACCAAATTTGTGGGGGGGGGCTACTTTTTTTGGGGGGGGCAGTGGCAGTGGCCAAATTTTTTTTAGAAACGAGTAACGCTTTATTGCCTGTCTGAGGGGTGAGGCAACATTTTGGGGCTTTTTAAAGGAAGAGAAATAAATCAAACAAAAATTGCCTTTCGTTATTTTTCCTTTTTTTCAACGGCCTCCCCTCTGGAACCACCTATGTTAGCACAAAAAAAATCGCCTGTACATGTACATCTATGCAACCTACAAGTATATGGTTTCTATACAAATGTCTACAGGTGAGTTTTGAGTGAAATTTGTGAGTGAAACTTTTCTTTGAATGACAGGGTGGCAAGAAATGTGTACACAGTGACATTGATCGTTGTACTGGTGAAAACCCAAAATGTTTTGCACTTCCTCCATGATATTGGACGAGATCTTTTTATTAAGTCTGCACAGTAGTACATGTACCTTTGGATACGCTAACGGTAAGACTGAAACTTAACGGAGCCTCTACTGATAGCGAACAGATTTTAGAAATATGCATAGTACAGTGTATCTACCATTTTGGAAGCTTAGTTTTCCATACCAATCTGACTTGGTAATTACTGACCTGCTCATAAGTGTTATGAAAGGCCCATGGCAAATTGTGTATGTTTTTTTGGAGTTGCAGGTTTGGCCGGAATTTTTATAAGTGGAACACCCCCTTTAATTCCTCAAGCAACACAAAGTGAAACCAATTGATTTTACATGTACCTTGAACAAAGGTATAAAAAACCACATCTTTGTTTAGTCCTTGACAATTCTTCTTTCTTGATGTGGATTACATGTACATGTACACAACACCTACATGTACATGTACATGTAAAACTTTACTTGTCTTCATCAAAGCTCACACTGACATGACTTACTTCTGAATACATGCAAAGCACATGTTTGTCCACACATGACACATGTGGAATGGCTTTGGGCCCTAATTATAACCTTATTAGGATGTGTATGTCCAAATAGTCAAATTTATGCAAATTGGTAAAAAACAAAAGTGAAGCCTATTTGGTACTTTTACAAAAGGTTGGGGCCTCATTTTCATGTATGCAAATGAGGTGGTAGTGGTTTCTGTACAGTTTAAAAGCATTGCATTGCCAGCAATGCATGGTTCTGACAGTGTCGGACGTACAGGGTGTCGGACGTACACATCTGATTCCACAATTTTTGAGTATTTGAAAAAATAATTGGGGGAGTTAAGCTGATGTCTAGAAAGAAGGAACTAATCGTGCTTTGTATTGTAACTTTGGCAGCCTTTTGCTAAAGGGTGTACTGAGGGGTAAAAAAACTGTCATTTTGGTGTCAGACGAAAAGTAAGTGTTATAAAATGAGACATTACATAGAATTTCAAAAGGAAAATGAAAATTCATTTCTGTCATGGTTTACTTATTGGGGCACTCTTCAAACTGTAACAAAACTGGAACAAAAAATTACTATCAGGCAAAAAAACAGAAAATACTTCAGAGGGGAAATATTTTCCCCAATTTCTCGGTATTTAAAACCAATTTTTCAGTATCATATAAAAGCCAAATTCTTGAATGTTGTCAGAAATGAAGTATGTTTCATGAAAGTATACACCATAAGCTTCAAAATGATATACAATTAGTCACATTTGGACCAGTTTGAAATTTTGGCCCAGAGGTTGATGTTTCCGTGGAACTGCCCTGAACTAACGCATGGCAAGTGTGAATGTTTGGACAAATTCAGACCCAAAGCAGCCACATCAATCTAACAGTGTTTAATTAAGTACCATGTTGCAAAACAGGAACGCTGACACTCTATCTCCAGTCGACAGATTATACAGAGTATGTACCGAGCATGTACACATCGTAGGACTCTTATCAATATTTCCCACCTAAAAGTCCCAACATGCAAGGACCCCAAGGAGTAGGGAGCATTAATGATGTGCAGCTACATGTATGTATGTAGGTACCGATATGTCATTTGCCAAGCTCGCACATAATTATGTGCATCAGTCGCATTCTTGTCTGCTTTTTGATATGCTGCCAGCATTCAGCAGCTGTCAAAAACAGAGATTTGTTTCATGATTTATGTTCAAAAGCCGTATCTTCCAAGTGATCCCTGTTCCAGGTTGTATCATGCTTATTGGGGTGCACATGATCCCTGGCTACATGGTGTTTCAGGTTTAACCCTAACTCACCTCAATCCTCCAAAATCTTTCAGGTGGATTTGGAGGATTGAGGATGAATGGTGATTGAAGCATGGAGGATTTTGGAGGATTGAGGATGAATGCTGATTTAAAAGCTGAAGGATTTTGGAGGATTGAGATGAATGGTGAATGGAATACTAAAAATTGGTCACATAGTGCTGCATATGGTCACGCATTATACTGTTTACAATATACAGGTACCAAAGGACAGTGTGTTCCATATTGTTCACTGCTGCTGGTCATAAATTACAAAATCATCTACTGCAGTGTGTTAAAACAAAGGCACCTGCCGGCTTTGTTTATCACAAAAGTAAAGCCATTAGCCAACTCTGCAAAACAAACAGCTTCAGCCCAGCACCCTACCTGATGTGCCCAACCCCCCCCCAAAAAAGAAAAAAGCCAAAGTAGGGCCATGGAGGATTTTGGAGGATTAAAGATTCAGGTACCTTTCATTTTGTACATACATGTAAGCCCAGAAACTGGAGGATTTTGGAGGATTGAGGGTGAATGCAGTTTTTGAAGCTGGGTAATTGGAGAATATTGGAGGATTGAGGATGCACACCAGTAAAAAGGCCCTTGTGGGTCGGGTTTAATGGCCTCTGGCTAGCGCCCCCCCGAACAGAGATATTGACAAATGGGAAAAGCAACCAAACACAACATAGGGCTGGATAGCTCAGTTGGTAGAGCACCGGTATTGTATTCCGGAGGTCGCAGGTTCAATCCCGCTCCAGTCAATTTCTTTGTTCATCTTTATAATCAAAAAAAGGCGATAAACAACACTCACAATCTCGACTCCAATTGCTGATTAATCACTTGCAGAAGGGACACCTTCATAAACTGACATTAATATTCTGTATGCACTTACACATTGCAATTACCAGTTGGGTCTAATTTCAGTCTGCTTTTCAAGTATTATGCACAGGAAAAACTGTAAATTATACCTTTGCATGGTACAGATTACACACATCAGTTCAGAAAATGTGAACATTGTACAAACTGATTTTTACAGTATGTCACGTTAAGCAATGATGACACACATGATATCATATTACATTTTTATTTGAAGGTAAAAAACTCTTTTGAAAATAGATTCATTATTTGATACATACTGTATCACAGTGTATTTCCTGACACTATATGTATATGTACATGTACACGTACATGAACACGTATTTAGCCGTTGAAATCATAAATGACAGCCAAATTTTGGTTGGCTTTATAAGTTTGATATCAGCACGAGCCATTTCAATGAGTAATTAATTAATCACGTAAAAACAAGGCTCAAAATGCAGGGGCCAAGATGCTTACACGTGCATGATTAACATGTGTACTGAGGTATGCCAATGTATCGTGCTCCAAATGAGAAAAAAAATTTGAAATGGATAGTTATTAGTGACTATAAAGGGCAAAGTACAATTTTAATAACAAAGTGGACCTGCACTAATACAGTAGTTAAAATGAAGGTTTCCCTTGCTGGGGAAAAATTCAATTTTGCACATTACTATGTACCATCGGTGTGTTAATAAATCCCGCACCCCTGTTTTTTTTATTCAGTTAATTATTCAAAGCACAAGGAAAAAGCTACTTGTCGATCAGACTATATAGAAGAAGAAAAAGAAACTGAACGCAAACAAACTTCAAGCGCAGTTACATGTACATGTACTGGTAGGCATAATTTAACCACCAGGGTAGCATTGATGTAATGGGTTTTAATTGTATCTCACAGTGGTTCACATGAACCCTGAAAGAGTCCAATTATTTTGAACCATCTCACGTTGGGGGCGGGGGGTTATGGATTCTTCCCCCTTCCCAAGAACTCGGCTTTCCTCTGCCTGATTTTTTTTTATTTGGCATGCATGTAAAGATACACCTCATCAGTACATATGTAAAATTTCAACTCAATCTCATGTACGGTCTTGTTATTACAGTCATTTGAAGTTCAACACCAAAAACATGCCAGCCCACGTGCATTAAGCACCGCAATGGAAAAGTCTGTTTGATTGACCTGTCTCAGACAAATGGCCGCCGCGTGGGAATGATAAGTTTGATATCACAAAAGTGGTGTCAAAATGACTGTAAAGACTTAACGGTACTGGAAAACTCTTGAAGGCTTAACACATGAAAAAAACTTTGTGGTGAAATTGCAAAAAAAGTTGAGGGGACAGATTCCAACCCCCCCCAATACTTGAAGGGTTCCATGTATATCCAACATAATACTCCAAAATTTCTTACACTAAAAACTTCATAAATATCAGAATCACTGGTGCGTATCGTAAGTCCGAAGCCTCAAAAGTCTGGATGCGTCGGCATAATGAGGCGTCGGATTTATGAGCAATTTTTTTTTCAGCCTCATAGTTCCGAAGCCTCAAAGGTCTGACACCTCATAAATCCAACGTCGGACCAATGAGGTGTCGGACTTACTAGATGCTTCAGTGCGATTGACTGTAAAACATGGAGGAGTGCGGGCTCATGCGATGCATCGCCTGTGAGCAAGATTCAACTTTGCTCCCAACTCGTGTCCACGGTACTGACCCTGTTAAGGAAAACTAAATCAAGCAGACTACCTGCACAGTTCGTACACTGGTCCAGTATTTGTTTAATCCAAAATACCACTACGTGTAAGAATGATGTATGATACTTCGCTAAATATAAAAAGCATTTTTTTGACTGTAATACTTTGAAATTTTAAAAATGTTTGTATGTGTCACAAATAGACACCATACTTCCACCGGGAACCAGTCTTGTTCCTAGCACCGTCTTCATACCCTCATAAAGAGCGTCAAATCAAATGTTGGACTTCCGAGGCGTCAGATTTTTTAGGCGTTGGATCTATGCCATAGGCCAAAAAAACCATTGGAACTTTTAAATGTATTTGTTGGACTTACGAGGCGTCGGACCTATGAGGTGTCAGACTTAGGAGGCGTCGGTCTTATGAGGCGTCGAACCTATGAGGCATCAGACTTATGGACTTTTTAAACACTTTGTTTGGACTTATGAGGCGTCGGAATTATGAGGCGTTGGACTTGCAAGCTAACCACGGAATCACAAAACTAGGTCTGTGCCGGGTACCCACTCATCGATATCAAGCCCGGTTCCATTTTTTGGGATGGGTACCCGTTGAAAAATTCCACGTATAAGATGTACTTAATAGTGATGGGCAGAATTGCTGGAAAATCATCATGCTGCTGAAAAACCTGGTACCAGGGTCATCACTGGTTCAGTGATCCACGGAGCTACTTCTGTTACAAATTAAAGGCAACACCTTGTTGAATTAAAAGTTGAGGGCAACTCCCTTTAACGTTTAGAGCAAGGTGCTGCTCTTTGTACGGAAAAGGAGCCCTGTTTTGGGGCACATGGTCCACCGGGATTGTGCACAATGCCATTTGCTAAGTGTTCTTTATATTCTAAGGCTACCCAGGTACCAGGTATTGACATAAAATGGGTTCCCAGTTCAAAAAATACCCATAAATGCCCACCCCTACACAAGACAGAATTCCAATTCAGCAGATACTAAAAGAATATTTATAACGCTGAGTGAAGTTAGAGGGGATGCTGTTCCACTATTGCGACCACAAACTGAAAACGCTTACGGGTCGATATGCTACAAACATTTTTTTTCACTACAGGTGAAGTCTTCCACCAAACACTGCAGTCTTACTCAGCATCACACAGTCTCAATAAAATGCACAACCATGAATTGTGTCAAACACAATGCAAAAGAAAGCTTGTATCAATTCACCTTTCAACTGGAGGCCAGTGCAACTGCTCAAACAAAACTGGAATAATAATATTGTCAAATTTGTTGGACAATTAACAAGTCCAAACAGCCCGATACTTTATTGTCCACCACATAATACGGAGACCTATTGTGATTCTGCAGTTTTGGTGTAAAGCACTTGGCAGGTCTTGAGTAATGCAGCCCTGTGGGCAAGAGTGATTGTGCAGATTATCAACATTCTGGGATGTTCTGACCAGCCTTTCAGCTTTGATGGAGTGACTTAATGCATGGCCCCAGCTATTGACAGCCCAAACTACCCCTTATGATGGATGATAAGGCTTAAGTGGCTTTATTATTATGGTGAAACTAAAAGAATTAGCAATAGCTTGGGGATAAATTAAAGAGAGTGATTCGTCCAGCATGCATGCAATTACGGCAGCCGACCTCGAAAACACACTAAATGCATTAACAGTAACACTGTAAAGTTTGTCCCTTCCTGCAATGCACCAGGTAAAAGTCATGGTCACAGACTGGAAGTGGCAATGATTTTGGCAGGGCAGAAAATCTCAGCTGCTCAAGGCAAATTCTAGTGGTGAAATCGTCAATTTTTCCCCTAAAAATTAGAAAACAAAACCGTGCCGCGCCCTGGCATAAAAAGAACTGTGCCAATTTTGGCTTGAGTTTGACAGGGCCCTTCCAATAAAATGGAAGCCTTAGTTTTAAGTGTACATGTACCAGTGCATTATGCAGTCACTGGACCATGCATAGAGCTTTCAGTGAAAAACTCGCTGTGTCATGCTTTAACACCGATCCACCAGACCTTCTGGCTACAATTCAATCTCTCCTTCCCACCCAATTCCATTTTTCTGTAATGACGCAAAGAACTCCGGGAATTCCGAGAAATGGAGCCATGATAATGCAGAATTCACAGACATGTGAGTAATCCCTACCCCCCCCACTCCGAATCTGTTGCCCGATGTCAATTTAATGCTGACTGAGCATTCTTTTAATGTGTACGTCAAGCAGGCGAGCCAATGTTTTTTTAATTAATGTTATGATCACATCTCTGTGTGTAGCTGGTCAGGACAAGTTTTCAAACAACTTTTCATACAATGATGAGATTCTTTACCAGAATGCATCAAATATTGAAACATTGTGGGGGTCCCCCCCCAAAAAAACACACATGATCCGGGGTAGAAATGGAGACCTCCCTAATACTGATGAGGTCTGAAAATTAATGACATCGTCAGCAATGAGGTCCTCAGGGCTACCGGAAAGTCGTTTCACACAGGAAATGAATGCGTTGAGAAGGATGAACTCAAAAAGAGGCAATGCTGCACGTACAGGCCATGTGGATGAAGGCAGCAACACCAGCTTGGCAATACGCCATGTATTTGTGGCGGCAGTGCGTAAATTTTAATTCCAGCCTTCAAATGACAGTGGGCAGGGACGGTCAATTCCAGCTTCCAGCTCCGGTTCCTTGACTTTGTTTCCAGGAAATATACAAAGCAATAATAATTCAATTGACTGGCATGCAGAAGGTACAGCTGGACAAGCACCTGCTCGTATATGCACATGTACCATACATGAACAGGAGTATGTACACATGTATACTGTGATTACTGTACGATCTGGATAGCCTTGGGAAACTATGAATCCTTTTGTCTGAAACTTGGAAGCAAGCACATGTGTGATATTTTTTATATCATAAATGGCACACCCACAGGCTTCAGTCTTGAGATGCATAAGCCCATATAGGATTTTTTGCTCTGAGTAAAAGGAGTGATTAATTAGACCTGCATAATGCAAAGCACGAGTAGGTTTTTCAAACTTGAATGCAACCGTTGTTCGTCAAGAGCTTTTTGGGGGAGGGTTAATTCCAGTCCTAGCCCCTACCCTAACGACAAATCCTGGGTGCACCACATGTATATGTATATAATATAGACGACACAGAATAAAAATACCGTACCATTTGACCCCAAAGAAGAAAACTGACAACTTATGAATACACATTCA